ACCGTTAATCGAACCAAAATTTATTTGAAAATTATTAACCGAATCTAGTTAACCGATTTTTTTTGTAACCATTAATCGAACTGAAATTTATTTAACCAAATAATTTGTTTAACTGTAAGTCAAATGTAAATTGTTGTAAGTTAAAACCATTGGGGACCTTTGGCCCAGTGGTTTAGGTGCTTGGTTACTCTTCTCCCCCCTTGGGCGCATCTGTGTTGTTCTATTTTCCATTTCAATTGGGTAGTGACACATGTCACCACCTCATTGGTTAAAAAATCATTTAATTAAATAATTTAAAATTCATAAATAAAATCTTTCAATCATGTATTGACACATGTCATGTTCTAATTGGATAGTTAAATTTATTTAATTGAACTAAAATAGTGACTAAATTGATAAAATATGTAAATATTAAGGACTAAATATATAATTATGCCAATATTAAGGACCAAATTTATTATTATGCCAATTTATTAAAGGACACGTCAGATTATCCGTTGTTTTTAACGGAGAGTGGTCTGATTGAATTAATTAAAAAGTTTGATGGTTGAATTGAGACAAAAAATAATTCGGTGACAAGATTGATTAATGATCATAGTTTAGTGGTCTCCCGTGTAGTTTACCCTTAATACTTTTATCGGACCTTTCTCTGGAGTGGGTGCCTGGGCCTCTGGGCAGGTAATTTAATTAAGATTAAATTATTTCATATACCACTTATATTTATTTATTGATTCGTTTATGATATTAAGTTTTTAATTTTATTAATTATAATATTAAATTTTAATTTTACGTTTAATTATGTTTCTTCATCGTTAAATCAATAATAGAACAATGATATAACTAATAGTTATTGACTTAGTTTGTTACATCAAATCGAAGTCGTTCCAACGACGATTATTAATGCCTAATGTGATGGTATTTTAGGCACTAAACTTTATGGATGTATCAATTAATTCATTGAAGTTTTAAATAATTTATTTTTTGGGACTGCACTTTTCGACTATCACTAGCAAACAATCATTGCATAAATGTTTATAATCGATCATCTTACACGATAAAATCAATATCAAAATGTTCGCATTTCATTCCTTGTTCTTCTCCTATAATTAATTTTCCATGAAACCCGCTCAAAATCAACAAAAATCCATTTAAAAGTTTAATGTATTAATATTCTAGTCTCTTTCAATGATCATCTTATGAGTATAGCTTTGAAGTATGTTGTTTGTCTTCTTAAAATAATATTTTTCACCATTCAGATTTTTTATCAAACCCCCAAACTCCATAAATCTAAAAAAAATCCCCCAAATATCTAAAAAATGTAGATTTTTTGTTTAATTTTACGTATTTTGAATAAGTTTAGTGGAAAACAAATATTACGAAAAGAAAGAAGAGCGAAATACGAACGTTTTGATACTATTTTTTCGTGAAATACAAACGGCAATTTACTGTTAACGTTTAGGGATGACAACTCAACCCGAATCCGACGGGTTCCGACCCGACCCGACCTGATCGGGTCGGATTTTTTTTAAAAAAATTTCGGGTTCGGGTCGGGTCGGGTCGGGTTTTTTTTAAATGTACTGTTCGGGTTGGGTCGGGTTTAGGGTGAAAAAAATCCGACCCGACCCGACCCGAAAAATATATATAATTTTATCCTATATATTTAGGGATAATTACAATAATGTCCCTCCATATATAATTTTTTTCAATTAAGTCACTGTTTTCATTGAATAAAATTTTTTTTATTATTATTTCGGGTCGGGTCGGGTCGGGTTTCTAAGTCATATATTCGGGTCGGGTGAAACCTTAATTTCGTCGGATCGAGTCGGGTCACGGGTGAAAAACCCTTTCTTCTCGGGTCGGGTCGGGTGGCCCAAAAACCCGACCCGACCCGACCCATTGCCATCCCTATTAACGGTGATTAAAAAAAATAATGTCACAAGGATATATTATTTAAAATTAATAACAAAAATCAATATACCCTAAAGATAAATTGCCTGTACAACTCAGTTGGTAGAGCGCAAGGCTCTTAACCTTGTAGTCGTGGGATCGAGTCCCACGGTGAGTAATTCATAAATTCTGACTGCCGGAGGTCTTCCACGGAAGCTGCTCTCAACCTGGCGTTGGAGGCAACCTACTACCTTACCTCCCCTCACTCCATTACATATGGAAATAGGATCAGCTAATTTTTATTTTTAATATACCCTAAAGATCATTGTCTAAAACAACTAGGTTTTTAAATTTTGATGTTCTGACCATGGAAGATTAAAAAAAACGTTGTAAATATGGTAAGACAGACTAGTTTGGTATTGTTGACTGTAATTATATTAATTATCCAACCTCTTTCATGGCATAAAAAACTGGAATATGCCAAGTCATATTCCCTTCAAGATGAAAAAAAGATGCCTATCATGCGGTAAAGAGGTGCACTTTTATAAATTTCAAAGTTACAATCCAAAAGCAGCAGTCACGCGGGATGAGAAGCAGTCCAGTCATCAATGGCTATTTATGTTTTGGTGCACTAATTAAGGGTAGATTACGTATTTAATACATAAATTATCAGTTTTGGTCAATTATAGTATCTAAATTATCAGTTAAAATAATTTATTTTAAAACTAGAAAAATATAAAATATTTCTTAAAGGTTTTTTGAGTTCTTTTTTATCAAATCCATGATATTTTAAGAGATTTTGATTTCATATTTTTAATGAGTTTTCTTTATATTCTTTTAAATAATTTTTTTTCTATTTTTGTTATATACAGTGAAACTTGTTTGGGCCAGATTTATTTTTCTTTAATCATTGATATACGATTTATTAATTAATTAATTTAGGTCAACTATCTTAGAAATTTATTATGAAAATAATCCTTTCATTACAATTTACACCATTCACACTATTTCTTTTTAACATGTCAAAATACCTACAATACTGAGGATGTAATTATTGAGACTAAAAAAATAAAATGAAAGTTTCACTAAAATGAAGAGATTAAAATACATATTAAATCTATAACTAAATTTGGAAAAATAAAACAAAAAATAGTTTATTATTCACAAACGGAGCTGAAAATTTACTATAAGACCTAATATTGATATTATTGATGCATCAATCAAATAAAATATGTACATATCGAAATTTTAATTTCTATATATGTGTGTGTATATATAAAATAATACATAATTTGTTTAATAAATTCAAACCAGACAGGCAAACCCATCATTGTATCCTATTTAAGTTGAATTAATCTTTGAACCTTCGAAGAACTGCAAGGGGTTCACAAAAGCACAAAGTGTAAATCTTTGAACCAAGACATTGTGTTATTTTACTGTTCTGGATTATTATTGTTTTTTGAAGGGTTCAAGGAAATTCGATTTGGTCCAATGTGAGGTCAAAATCTGTTTAATAGTCCGAATATCCAAGAATCCGAAGTGGGTCGAAGCTCAACGTCTGTCAAGTTCTCAGTACGGTGCATATTTCAGGGTCCAAATAGGTCCAAATCCATGTCGGGGCTCAATTATGAGAGGGCAATTTGCTTTATTTTTTAGAGGCGGAGCTTTCTCGGTGCCCAAAGAGGTCCTGAATCCTGTAAAAAAAATTATGTGATAGATTTTGATATAATAATATTTTAATTCATGTAAAAATAAGCATTCAAATTAAAAAACAATAATTTATTAAATATTTAATATTGTAGGGGCCAAACAAGAATTTATTAAATATTTAATATTCAAGGGCCTGGGTTGACAGTGACGTTGCCCTGATTTGAGCTTCTTTAGTTGTATTGGAGGCTATAACTATTTGCTTATTAAGCCCAACATAAGAGTCCTATCAAAATAAGTAAATAACTAAAATTAGTAACATTAATGTTTGTACGTTGAAACTCGAGCATTTAGTTCTCTCCGGACGTTTTATTATTTTTAATTAAAATAAAAGGATTTCTTGTTACCGACACTGCATGCTACAGTGTTGTACCATTGTAGACAAATCCCGTAAAGATATACATATGAAAGAAGCTTTGTAGGATGTTGTGTCCATGAAACTATTTGTATTTATTATTTATCATCTTACAAATTCACACAAGTAAAACAAAACAAAAAATCCCAAAGGTCAAAAGCATTGAAGTTATTAGACTAAGATAGAATATTAAATGCATCATTTCGTTGATCTTTTTATTAGACTAAGATAGAATATTAAATGCATCATTTCGTTGCTTAGATTGATGATGTTATTTTTAATTTAAGAGATATTATAGTTTTTATTAATTTTAAATGTATAATTTTTCATATTAGGGTTTATTATATATTAAAATTTATCGTTTGTAAAAAGCGTAACATTTTAATTGCCGAATTAATTATAATATATTTTTGGAAAATGAAATTGAAAATGTTAAATTAGAATAGGAAGACTAGTTACTCGTAAAACAAGAGCACCAACAACATTTCCAAAAGGATCTAGGCATGTACTGTTTAAGATATTTTTAATCAAAATTTTTGGTATTACTTTTTAATTAATTACTATATTAAAAGAGGCTTCTTGAGCCAATCACAAACCTCAATACACCCAGATAAACAGTGTGTGGTCCCTCTGTCTATTTGAAAGTAAAGTGGTCACTCTCACGCGGAGAGAGGAACAATTTATCCAACTCCTGAAGGATTCGTGTACAACTCCCAAATCTCTACTTTCTTTCAGCTCTTTCCAGTCTTTGAGAAATCAAGTTTTGTCAAGCGAAATCAAGTTTTGTCAAGCTATACGTGTTGTGAAAAACCAGACCCGAGTTTGAAAAATTAGGTCGGCGTTTGTCTTCTTCTCTTTTTATCACGCGTTTCAGGGTTGATTGATTGTTCTGCAGTTTTGATGGATAGGAAGCTGAATACGTTTTGCTTCTTGTCTAAGGCTTCAAATGTTTGATTGATTGTCCGAGTCTCCCTCTTTGTATAAAGCCCAGGATCTTGGTCTGAAAAAAGAAGCTTTTTTTTTGTATTGTTCTCAGTTTCATCACCTTGGCCTTTTCAGGCTTCGAAGGTTCATGGCTTTTCGGTTCCTTGAAATTTGAATAAAAAACAGTGTTTTTTTTACTCTTTTTTAGGTCACAAACATTAATTGAAAATTGAAATGGAAGAGCTGAGGGGTTTTCAACAAGTGAGAGCACCGGTTTTTCCAGTGCAGGAGCAGCTGAAATGCCCACGCTGTGATTCAACCAACACTAAATTCTGTTACTACAACAACTACAACTTGTCTCAGCCGCGCCATTTCTGCAAGGACTGCCGGCGTTACTGGACCAAAGGCGGCACCCTCCGTAACATCCCCGTCGGCGGCGGTACCCGCAAGAACACCAAACGCTCCTCCTCCTCCTCCTCAAACAATAGCAACCAACCCAAACGCCAGCCCAGTCCTACTACTGAACCGACCCCAAACCAAAAACTCCCTGACCCCTGTCCGCCACCGCCGCCGACATCGTCGACGGTTCCTCCACAGGTTCTTCTGAGCTCGGCGGTTCAGAATTCGGTTGCCGATGCTGACCAGACCCGGTTGTTTGTCTTGTCGCTGGATCATCAAGAAAGGAATATGATAGATAGCGGTGGGAGCTTTAGCTCGCTGCTGGCATCGAGTGGGCAGTTTGGGAACCTTGTAAACAAGTTGAATCCAAATGGGTCGGGTTCGAAAACAGCCCGCGTGGATAATTTTGGAGCGAATTTGGCTTGGGATCGTGGAGTGGATAGAGGTTCGGATCGGGATCCGAGATTGGGAGATGGCAACAATAGCAGCAAAGAGGCTGAAGAGAGTTATTTAGGAGGAGGTGGTGGGGATACAAGTTGTTGGACTGGCGGTAGCAATGGCTGGCCTGATCTTGCTATTTACACTCCTGGTTCAAGTTTTCATTAGAAAATTATTGGGATATTTTACCGAATATGTATTACCTAAAATTAAAAATTTTGGTAAAATAAAGAAAAATATTTTAGATTAACTTGCTTATTGTGTATCATAATTTAATGAATCAATTAAAATATAATATTACAATACAATTGTAAAAATATAAAATATAGTAACATTAGTAATTAAATGATTTAATTTTAAATATTTTTTATAGTTAACATGCCATTCACGATGGGAATTTTGATATTTTTTAATCAACTCAATGGAGCGGGGTAAGATACGGAAGATCCGATCTTCAAAGTGTTTGTCTTTAGAGATCTACACAAAATTTGAACTATACATAAGAAATATATTGAAGTGTCGCACATATAGGCCTGTAGATACATTAGATTTAAATATATTATCGAATCGACGATAAAGAAATGTGATCAATAGAAGATAAATTGACAATAATAAATTTGTTGGAAACAATTACAAGAAATAGGAAAAATGACACAGAGATTTTAAAGTGATACAATTTTTACAATGAAGTCTACATATATTATTTTACCTTTCAATAAATTTATTAATTTATTCTAACCGTTTAGGACAATATGTAATCTTACACAGCACTAAGACATATACCACAAAGTCTTAAGTGCACAACCATTCTTAATAAGAAATTACAAACGAACAAACTAATGAATATCCTCAAAATGATATATTGTTTGCAAATTGAAACTCTCTCATACACGAGAACACTAGAATAAAAATGATAATGAATGAAATAATATTCAATAAAAAAGACAACTGAATATAATTTGACTCTATTTTTTTCTTTGATAGTTGTAATAGCTTTCTTGTATTTTCTTCGTTGTTTGAAGACTTTTTTATGCCCTCATGATTTCCAGTCGTTTGAAGTTATTGGAGGGAGTTTGGAGTCGTTTGAAGTTTTAAAATCGTGCATTCAATATAAATATGTACAGAGGTTTCAAAATTGTCTAAATAATTTTTAAAGTTATATTAAAATTTGACCGTTACATCAGGGGTTTCGAAACTAACAAGGAGAGTTTCAAAAGCATGAGATAACTTTTAATAAATTTGAGCTAATACCTCTTAGTTTTTGAAACCAGCTAAAGGGATTTTGAAACCACCTTCAAAATGTTCAAAAATAGCCTTGTTTCATATTTAAAAGATATTTTAAGACTTTATAATTTTTTAGAATATTTTTAAATTCATTTTTGACATCTTTAAACTTTGAAATGTTATTTTTACAAACTTTACATTTTTTAATAGAATATAATAAAATATTATTTTTATAAAAATTTTCAAAAAAAAATTTTCATTTGATTATATTTATCATATATCTTACAAACGTGACTGTTTAATTTTAAAATTATGAGAAAAATAACATTTTCTTTTATCCCTTAAGACACTTGATAAAATTTTTAGAACCATTTTTTTTAAAGAAATGAGTGCCTCATTAAAAAAAAAAACCCCTTCTAGATCTATAAGGAGAAAATAGTTCCCAACAAATATATTACCCAAAATCAATATCATTGGACACATCAGTGATGATAATCTCGGGACAAACCGAGTCAAAAAAAAAAATATGGTACGTCCAAAACGAAGAGTCGAAGAAGCTAACGTGTGAGCGACAATATTACAAGAACACTCAACATAACCGACTATAAAAGAAACACGAGTAGCTAATATATCTCGACCTTCTTGCAAATGAAAGCCCAGAGTGGATAAATCGTCCAGTTTACCATTAAGCTTATTAATAACCATGGTAGAATATGATTCAATAACCACATCAGACCAAACTTCAACCCAATAATAACATGAATCTCTGTGAGACCTGCCTCTCCACAAGATAGAGATGCCATAGCCATATCTCCTGAGGGTAACCCCGATTGCATCACGAGCTATAACCCCGACTGCAACAATCCATCTACTAGCGTCGAAAGCTCCATCCATATTATTGATCTTGATGAAGTATCGATCCGGCGGTCTCCATCTCTCTGTGAAGGTACCTGCAAATAAAGCCAGCTGCCACGTAGCCTTCCGCCGACACTCCTCTTCAATGTACCTGGCTATTGGGTCATCATTCGATCGATGATGGCATAGTGTATCTGCTCCACGAGCAGCTTGGTTTCTGGAAGAGAGGTAGGCCCGTTGAAGCGAATAAGTGTTAAGAGCCACACTCCATAGGGGATGATACTTAGCATCATGAACCTGAGTATTGCGCGCACTCCATATATTCCACAAAAGGACTATAAATTCAACAAATATATCTATACCTAGAATATGAGCCACGGTTTCAAGTCAACACAAAGGTGACATAATATTAAAGGAACTAATCGAACCAAAAAATCTTGTCTGTCCTAACGTCTCCCGTGCATACACATAATCTTTCAACACATGGATGGTAGTCTCCTCTATGACACGACACATGGGGCAGACACCATCGTCTATACCTGCTTCACGAAGACGCTTTCCCCACAGGTAGACCATCATGTTCCACACGCAAGGTAAAGACTTTCACCTTTGGGAGCACCTTTAGTTTTGCAATAGCCTACCAAACTTTAGAGACTGGTTCTACCGAATGTAAAGGCTGTTGTAATCACCAGTATCCCAATCGGACATAAAATGTGCAGAGTCATGGAACTCCCAGATTAAAACCTCCTTTGAGCAAGGGGTAATGGTCGTCGCTAAAATCTTCTCAACATTTTCAGCCGTGACCGCATCTCAAACCCGGGACTCAAACCAACTAGTGCTTCCTAGATACATAAAGGAGTCCGCCTTGAACCGTTCTGGTGGGAAAACAATATAGTCACCTGATAGGGTTACTCGACCTGACTTACCCCATTGATCCTACAAAATGTTCAATTTGCTAATGCGCTAGAAAAACAGACATATCTTGAAGTGCCTTATATATCCCTTTCCTAGCATAAGAACTTGTAGGTCATTTTTTAGCATTAAGAATATCTCCACTATGGAAATATTTCGCTTGTAAAGCACGAGAAAATAAACAATTGGGATGTCTAATGAGCCTCCACACCTGTTTACCTATTTACCTGCTTATTTAGCTGGTATAGAGTTCTTGGATGGATTTTCTCGGAGTTCTGATCCGAAAGTTGATTGTGATGGAGTTGGTGGGTCAGATTCTTCATACTATTGCACCTTGCAACCCAATTCCAAGCCAGTTGTCGAAGAGCAACTTGATGGTTGGCAGGACGGGAAGTCTGCGTCTCTAGAGCCTCTTGCGGGGGGCCCAACAGTGGAAGCAAAATCACTACCTGATGGTTTTCTGACTCCTCAAAGGTCACTTCCATACCGTCAGTCCTGTTATATGGTTCACTCCGGATATCAGATGATTGGTAATATCCTTGACCTGGAGAACGCAGTAGCTGGTTCAATTTGAAATGGTTGCCAATAATGGCGGCAGCAGCTTGTATGCATATATGGTCTCCACATGTAAAATGGATCTCGTTGTACAGTTGAAAATCATATTGGATTGTTATAGAAAAAGAAAACTGGTAGGGGCATTGTACGTAAGAAAAAGGCAACATGAGTTGGGGTTGTAAAGGACGTAATATCCTTGACCTGATATTGTTTTTTTCTTTCTTTAATTTTATTTCATAAATTTCAGGTTGAAGGGGCGACTAATATAGATTTTTGTTTGTGTTACTTTGTACCTTTATTTTTCTTTGCTATGGTGATGTATTACCAAAGCCTCATTTAAATTTTTTTTTTAGACAATTGACGTTTTATATTTAAAATATTATTAAATTTCTATTGTGTTTATATTTGTGTAATTGACAATAATGAAATCTTTTAATTTTGCAATTCAATTGCTTGGCTCCAATCGCAGGTCTTTTTATGGATATAGCACCTACAATCTCAGGCCGGCTTATATATATTTAACGTGATTAAACCCCAATTAATGATAATAAATGTGTTTATAATGATATTTTTTATATACTTTTAAATTTAACATACAAGACTAATCAATTATTGAATAGAAGTTTATGAATATATTTTTATGTAAAATATTTTATTTCACTTAAGTTTCAACTATGATAGAATTTCACTTAAGATTTAAAATGGGTTGGCCTTGTTACGTCTAGGCGAGATGAATACTAAAATTCGGTATAAATACCAAAAGTTATAGAGATCTAAAAATAGTTTATATCTCTCCAAATAATTTTCTCACAAGACTTAATCTTTATTTATAGAGTCAAATACTTGATCATCAAAAATTCTTATTACATAATATATCTTACCTAAAATAAATATTTATTTTATTAAATAAATTTAATTACCAAGTAATCTTTAACAACTAGAATTATAATAAAATTCAACTTAATCACATATTATAATTTAGAACAAAATATAACAAATTTTTTGATTGACCTAAATTTCATCAAAAATTGGTTTTCAAGTCTTCATTAATCTTTATGTAAGCCGAATATCCGTTGAAACACCACTGTCAAGTCTTCAACAATTACAATCCTTACACAATACCTATTTAAGTATTACTGGATCAATCGATAATTACTCTCATGTAACTAAAAACCTATTGTAGTAAATTCATCTTGTATGTCTCCAAAATCGTTAATAAAATTTGCAACAACAACTTCCTTCAAAAACTTCATAGCTCGAACCATAGCTCATATACCATTTGTTAGGAATTTGAGAGCTGAAAAATAACCAAATTGATATCAACATCAAATAAGACATGCATAAAAAAGATTTAATGTGGTTCGACATTGCCTACCTCCAGAGAAGAGATAAAACAATAATCCACTATAAATATATAGAACACAAAGAGTACAAATATATTATATCGCAATTGTCCCAAAACACTCGTTCAATATCCCTACAAAATTATTTATGTAACATAAACTCCAAAAGTTACAGAGATCTCAAAAATGATTATTTCTCTCTAAAATAACTTTTTCTGCACATCATCCTCAAGGTTAAGACATAATCTTTATTGATAAAGTCAAGTACTTGATCACTAAGAATTCTTACTCCATAATAATTCTTGCCTG